CTTTTACTGGACATGATTTACTAACCAAGGGCATAAAAATTATTCTGGCATTGTAAATGAGTTTCATTTGATAAATAATGAATTATCAATGCATTAAATCGTGTATGTCAAATATATTTTTTTTGGAGATTTTGGGTATTTTTGAACTTCCCGCAAGTTTGCCAGTTACATTTGAGAACACTGCCTACTGGTGTTTTATTATAGAATAAAAAATAGATTGGTGCAAAAAATGTATACTTGTTTAAATGACTTTAACGTGCTGTACAATAATTAAAGAAATTACGACTACTTTGACGCCGCAATTATAATCATTATTTAACGGAAATGTGCAGAGTGATGAAAAATGTAAACTTTTGGCATTGTACTTAAGCTTATTGTGTATAGTTTTGAGATATTGCATCTCAAAAGTACTGACATTGCTTATACTTTCAATACTTAAAAAATACTTATATGTTAAATAACTACATTAAGTATTAAAAGTATAAGCAATTTAAGTACTTTTGAGACACAAAATATCTCATTTCATCAATAATTTACATGTATATAGATTAGATTATTTTACATTTATTAAACGATTGTCATCATAATTTGTTTACTGAATCCAGCAGCTCTCTTACTATGACAGATTAACTTTATTTCTATCCCTCGCTTTTATTGAATTCACATATATATTTATTGACTGTAAAAATGCTTTAAGTTTGATTATGTACACGGTTATTTAGGATGCCAAAAGAGGACCAACTGTACGCCGCGTTACTTTACCTCAGTAGGTCCGCTGTAGGATACCAATAGAGGTCCTTACGAACTAAGGAGGTATCCTTAATAGATTTCTGTTCGGGGTGATGATACATGGTATATCGTATACCTGTGTATAAGATTGACCTATATATTGGGAAACAACCCCCTTAAGGAGTAAAAACTTCCATAAGACCATTACAATAACTGCAAAAGAGTTAAAAAACGTGAAAAAATCGATTTGTCGTTAAATTTTTTTTTTTTTGGTTTCTTAAAAATACTCTGGGCGAGCGCTTGAGACTTCAGACTCGTTCCAAAACAAGTCAACTTTCTTACTTCAAACAATTTTTTTTATGTTCGATTGGTAAAATTTGAACAAATTGATTATTCAGAGGGTGCATTTTTGTTTTATCGGTCTGTAGTTTTTTATCATGAATTTCAGTATTTTTATGTGCTATGGGAGAGGGGGTTTGCTTTTCCTACCTTTTAAGACTGACTGGCTTTTTTCTACGCAAAATAAGCACTCTTGACTTTAGATATAGACAGACCACAAGCATTTATACATTAACTATTGGAATGGACTAATTTATATAAACTATGGTGTATTGCTATATAATAATATTTGGTTTTAACAAAGTAAATAAATAACATACATTAATAAAATGAATATTTAATATGCTAAAAAAAGACGTCTCACTATAAAAAGGTTTTGTTATCACTGTTAACCTAAGCAGTGCATAGTATAATTGAAATAGTATTGTCTTTTACAGGTTATACAATTAAAAACATTTAATTTTACAATTTAACGTAAACTATTATGGGGGTCACTTATTGACTTTTATTAGATGTAACTGTCTAGAAAGTTAGTCTTAGGATCTTTTTTTAATTCGTTTATTCTTTTCTGGTAAGCTTATTTCTAACTATGAGAAATTTTTTAATTGCTTTAAAAAATTTTTAAGTGATATAAATGGTAGTTAGATGTGGGCTTACTAGTACAGCCGTCGACACAGCAAAGAATCAGAGCTTTCTTAAATACCACATAGATTTTTTTGTTGATCACTCATTTTCAAAGTCACTTTCGTTCAACCTTCTCAAATGAATACTACTTCAATTTAATGTAATCGTCAGACAGCAATAATTGTGTAATTTTAACACTATTTACTTTTTGTAAGAGTTTCCCAACTTACGCAATTAGCCTGTACGTGACGTTGATAGCTAAGTTCCGATCCCGTGCTCAAAGGCAACTTGTTTCCTGAAGTGTCAGTAACCCATTTTGACCGATTTAATATATTTTTTCGAGCTACGGGCACATAATAATGTCTGAGCAGAGAATAAAGAATATATCAAGAGATATATTATTTATTCTCCGATCTGGTTTCTTAATTGTTGCATGAATAGTCCAGTCAATTGACTATTATTAATATTATTAATTAATTAATTAATATTATTATTAATATATTATAATATTATTAATAAGTCGGAAAAAACCATAAAACGTGGAAAAATAAAAAAAACACAACTGATTTGAATAGGACCTTTTGCATTGTGTTCCCAAAACCTTCAGGAACATTTATCACCCCTAACTTAAGTATCTTAGCAAATGAGAAATTAATAAACTAGGGTAGTTTCAACCCCCTGTAGGCACCCCAAAAGTGAAAAATAGTGACCTGAAAAATTTCGTAAAATTGATATTCAACCTCCAAAATGATCTTTAGTAGGTTTTTGTGTCGCTGAACACGAATATGATGACGGCAATATTCTCCGAGATACCTGGGGCCCAGTATAAGCTGTATTGACGTCGTCTCTTGGACTTTAGTGGAAATTTGTAACGTGTACAGCTAAGACTCAATACTCGGAAATTTTTTGGTTGTTGATCATGAATATGAGGTCAAAATTCTGAAGTCCTATCATGTAAACTCATTGCCCTTTAAATTTGTTGGAATACTTTGAAAATGTTTAAATTTCGCGATTTGTGATTAGACAAAATGAGTGATTAGTCAAAAAAATCGAACGTTTTTTAACGAATCACGCATTGTCAAATTTTAAAATTTTTCAAAGTTCTGACAAATTTTAAAGCCAACAAGTTAACATTCTTTTCCGTTTAGTGAATAACACCACTTTTCATGAAAATTGCATAAAAAAGTCAAGTTATAATAGGAATCATTATTCACGTTACATTTAATCATTTTACTTCAAGTACATTATGTTTTATTAATTTTATATAAATTTTATTATTCTCGTATCAATATGACTTGATGTGTAGTTAATAATTTGGTGCGCTTTTGTGGCCATGCATTTGTCTTAGCTACAAATGGCGTCAACTTTAAATTCTAATTATTGAATATAATTCATTGCAGCCAGATTGTTTTATATTTTAATACTGATAATATATCTTAGATATACAAAAAGTTATAAGTTTCTAACATTTTGGAAGCTAAGATTTTTGTTTCAGAATTGTTTTTCATCAAATGTTTGTATGAATTTGAAATTACCGCCCACTTATAACCGAAATTCATCCACTTATGAAGCAACACTGGTACAGGGATGAAAAATTTCTATAATTTCTAAAAACCCTCCGGGTACCAAGTCTTGGCTATCCACGTTACGAATTTCCGTAAAAGTCCAAGAGACAACGTTGATACTGTCCACCCTGGGTACCAGATACCTCGGAGAATATCGCCGTCATCATATTCATATTCAGCGACCCTAAAAACTCCTGAGAGACCATTTTCGAGGCTGAAAATCAATTTAAAAAAAATTTTTCACCACGTCACTTTTTTGGGGTGCCTGTTAAAACTTGAAACTACCCTAGTTTTTTAATGTTTTATTTGTCAAGATAAATTAGAGGTGATAAATGTTCCAAAAGGTCCCATTCAAATCTTATGTGTTTTCCCATTTGACTCCATTTTCCGGCTTATTTACTGGTCTAAAAACAGAAAAAAAGAAGGTTTCTACTTAGTAGTTTTACATTTTAAGACTGCTTACACAATTCGAGGTGATACTCATAGGACAGGTTGTAGTATGCGTTATTACCGCATGATGCTTTTTCACATTATAAAATGAAGCTAAATAGATACTCTTTTATTTTAACAAGTCAAACAGGCCAGGTTTTAGTTTTAACTTTAGCCACTTCATTTGATTTGTAAAGGCTCTTCGGCGCTAGTAGTCGCGTCTCACCTCGAATAAAAAAAGTGCTGAACAAAGGAGACATTACTGAACACCAGTTGAAAATAACAACTAGTTTGTTGTGAAACTCGTTTTATTATAAATAGATATAAATACTTACACTTATTGGAGCGTTAACACTTTTTATAGTGACCAAACTGTATCATTAACTTTAGTTACATTGACACCAGATCACACAATTTAATATGTTAACACATTATATGTGTCAGTGCTTTTCAAATGTTTGATATCTTTATATTTTACAATCAAAATAAAAATCAAAAAAATTGTGTCAGTGTGTGGCAACGCTATTTTAATATGGGAGTATCAAACAATTAATCACTAGAGGGCAGCATAGCACTCGGATTGCCTACCCTCACTATAGGAGTTCCGACTGGGCTTTGGTCGGAGTATGATCGTGCTCCTGCAAATTGTTTGCTAATTGTGTGGTTCTCTGTTCTGCTCGAGATCCTTTTTTGCCAAGTAGTGTGAGTGCCGCATTTCCAACATATACTGCTTTTTACTAGTGAGTGAGTGCGTGCTCTATTTGATCTCTGGGACCCTTCCAGGGTCAGGCTCCCGCCTAGCGGGCAGCCCCTCTTCTCAAACATGGCCTTGGACCAGGCTGGCGAGAATGTCAAAAAGAAAGTACTCCAAGAAAGTGAACCCATGGACTACATAGAAAATAGCAACAAAAGAGTGATAAAAAGCCTTGAAGTCTCTGAAGAATCCAACAACGAACATGAATACACGAAAAGTAAAAGCAAGAGGTTAAGGAAAAAAGCCGCCAAAAGTCGTGAATAGGTCGCACAGATACAGCTCCCGCCCCCAGGCACACAGAAACAGACAGAACATGATCAACCAACACAACAGAACAATAATAAAGAGGTAAACAAAGAACAATATAGTAACGTAACAGAATCGATTCTGTTAGTTTAAGATCGCTTAACCCCCTAAAGCGAAGTCTAAAGGACGATGCTTCTTTAAATAGCCAAGACACAAATCAAAACAAACAACAGTACCTCTACACCAAAAACAATAACGGCCTCTTTGGTGTATGGGTCGCCAAAGCTCATGCTGATAGCCGGCGCATCAATCCAATGATGGTTGGCGCCCAACTGTTCGGCAAATACAGGGATGTCATTGAGGTCAAGAGTAGAGGCCCATATAGTAGCGCTGAAATCAGGTGTAAGACGCCGCATGAAGCAAACAAAATTATTAAAGACGATCCCTTGAAAGAATACGGATTGAAAGTATATATACCTACCTTCAGGCAAGTGAGAAGAGGTATCATAAGGGGAGTGCCAAACATTGAGATCCTGTCAACCCCAGAAAAAATAATTTCTATGATCGAATCTCCTAATGCTAAAATAATTGATGCACAAAGACTCAAAAGGAAAAATAGGATGCCAAAAGGTGAAGACGATAAGTGGATCCCGTGTGAAACAGTGCTGTTGACTTTTGAGGGTCAAACCCTGCCTCTTGAAGTCAAGGCATGCTATACGACTAAAAAGTGGAGCCATATGTCACCCGGCTTATGCAATGTTTCAAGTGTTTCAGCTTCGGCCATACTGCTTCAAACTGCAGAAACCAAGCCCTATGCATTATGTGCGGTCAAGAAAAACATGAGGGCAGGAGCTGTGAAAGACCAACACCTACTTGTGTAAACTGTAAAGGCCCTCACAAGAGCATTGACACCAGCTGTCTAACCTACAAGGCCCAATATAGGATAAATATCCTTATGGCATACGATAACACTACTTGCGCAGAAGCAAGGAAATTGGTACTTGGAGCAGAGCCAAAGGCAGCCCCACACAGGACAAAGGAAAACTTTCCAGCTTTAAGAAGCGATCAGAGACAAGGCCTTCTAAAAAAGGTAAGGTACTTACGGAGCCTCTCAATCCCAAAGCTCCAACTGCATCAAAAAAACCTAGTGATAGCACAAACAAACAGATCTGTCAACAAGTAAAACGTCAAACCAACGAACTAATAGAGTCTACAGTCTTCCACGGTGCACGGCAGCAGCAGCAGCAGCAGCAGTAACTACCGCCTCAGCAGGGACAGCTACAAATCCAGGAACTCCCAATTGGTGCCCATCATCAACTTTTGACCCCCAACAACCCTCAAGGGAGTATGGATGCGGCTTGCACAGAGAGTCTCAAACTAGGCTCATCAATCCAGGACATCTACAAGCTTCCAGACACCATAGATAAATTAAAGTCCAGGATTAAAAACTCTAGTCATATTAAATTAAAATAAGTATTCTAGTCAGACTTACCTTTACAACACACACATACATACACACATTCATATACAGATAAATAATAGTCCATTTTATTTGTAAACTTTAATTTTAACTTCATTTTTATCAATTTTTGTACATATTATTTACCACTACACACTCTAATACACATACTTTTATCTGAAAAGCATGAATAACAAAAACATTAACGAAATCAGAATCGTACAGTGGAATGCCAGTAGCATCAATAACAAATTAGACATTCATGAAAAATGTAAAGACTTTGATGTGATAGTCATAATAGAAACATGGCTTACACCCAAAAGTCGTTTCAATTTAAAAAATTTTGATTTTGTCAGGTATGACAGGCATACTGGTGAGAGAGGAGAGATTGCTTTCTTCGTCAGAAGGGGTCTCATCTTCAAGCCTGTGCAACTAGATGTTGAATACGAAAGCCTAGAAGTCGGCTCGATCTTGATCGGCACCAGTGACGGAGATCTCCTGATCACAGCCTGCTACAGATCACCCAAAAACAATAACAACCTGACTCAGACCGAATTCATTGCTCTAGTAGAAGTAATCGGTAATTACAATAACTTCCTAATGGTGGGTGATTTCAACTCGCATCACGCTTTCTGGGGCAGTAACAAGCTATGTCCAAACGGACGCACTATTTATGACAATCTAGATCTAGACAAGTTTTTCCTTTTAAACAACGGCCAACCGACATACTTTTATTATGCTAACAACGAATTAAAATACTCTAGTATTGACCTGTCCTTTGTTTCCCATGAACCTTGCACTAAACACTGACTGGAAAGTCATCGAGGACTCCTGGGGGAGTGGTCACCTCCCTATGGAAATCAAACTAAATTCCATCCCAGAATTTGAACACAAGCAGAATTATAAATATAATCTTAATAAACTAAACAAAGAAAAATTTCTGGAAGATATAGATAGTTACAAAAAACAATTTGCAAGTCTGGACTTTCTCAAAACTGATCCACTGACTAGATATAATTTTTTTACAGATACCTTAAACAATACCATTCTTAATAACCTGAACCAATCCTACAAACCTTTCTATAACAATCAACCTAATAACAATTCCAATATAAATAAGAAAAGTAAAATTTATAATACATGGTGGAACGATGACTGTGATAGAGCCATACGTAGACGAAGGGCAATGTTCAAGTCTATGAGGTATAAATGCGACCTGCCATCCTATATTGAGTACAAAAGGGTATGTGCCGGAACAAAGAGAACCATAAAAGAAGCAAAAAAATATTCTTTTAAGAGATACTGTGAAACTATTAACAGGCTAACTCCTATATCCCAAATATGGAAAAAAATCAAAGCCTTCAAAAGAGGTATTAATAAAACCAGCAGCTCTATTGGGAATAAAGACTTTCTGAATAACGCAATTAATTGCTTAAGAGAAATATGCACTCCTAAAAGCCCTAACATACAGCCTTTTGATTTAAACCAAATGTCTTGTACAAATGCACACGAAAATTCAGTGATAACTGAACCTTTCACTTTCAATAAACTTAATCATGCTCTGAAATCTGCCAAACCAGACTCAGCACCTGGAATGGATAAAGTAGACTTCCAAGTGCTGAATCTACTCCCGGAATTTATGAAAAGGGCCCTTTTGGACGTATTTAACGACATCTTCGCTGCAGGCTTATTTCCAAAACAGTGGAAGGATTTTTTGATCGTATTTATCCTTAAGAGGGATGGCTCTAAAGCAAGACCAATATAATTGGCCTCATGTTTTTTAAAAACAATAGAAAAAATTATAAACCTGCGCCTAGTTTGGTATCTCGAAAGTAAGCACCTACTCTCACCCAACCACGGATTTAGGAAAGGCATGATTAGATCTAAACTAGAGTATGGAGGGTTCCTCATGGCACCTTGCCCCGAAACTCGTTTGGACTCGTTACGAAGAATCCAAAACTCGGCGATCAGGGTGGCTATGGGATATAGGAGCAGCACACCTATTAATGTAATCCACGCAGAATCCAAGATGCCTTTCCTCATACACAGATGAGAACTCCTACGCTACAAATACATCCTCAGACACCTCCAATATAATAACGACTCAATCATTAATTCCCTAGAACGCATAAACAAAACCGCGGAGTCACCGACTCTCAGTAATAATTACACCAAATGACTCATCCAAAACTGCTATCTAAATAGTTGGTTCCACAGCGGCCTAATCATCCAATCTGAGGCATATTGTAAGTTTACTGTCCCCTTCAAGGACCTCCTATTCTCCCCAGACAGCAGTACCATCATGGGAAGAAAAATACAAGAGTCGAAAGACCCAAACGCTGCTTTTAACGAACTGATAGGGAAGCGTGATGCGATTGATATCCACACCAACGGGTCAAAGATCGAAGGTGTGGGTGATCCGAGTGTTGGATTCACCATATGGAGCAAAAATGAATTCTTTAGAATGTCGCACAAAATCTCACATAGAGCCTCAATATTCACGGCTGAATGCTTTAATTGCCTTAAAGCACGCTGTAGAGAGAATTAACCAATGGTGTGAGTCAGGTTGTCAAATAGTAGGACCCTTTAGACTGTTTTCTGACTCTAAAAGCATAGTGGACTCACTAAGGCGAGTGAAGGGTCTGGCCTATGAGTCTCCCTTGCTGGTGCAGCTGAGGGGTGGCCTTGCCGACTTAAAAAGGAAAAACATAACGGTCAGCGTATTATGGATTCCTGCACATTTGGAAATCCAAGGGAACGAACAGGCTGACACAGAGGCAAAAAATGCTGTCATTAGAGGTTCCCTGGCGGCGCTAGACATCCCATCCTCTGACCTTATCACGTACTACAGAGAGCTGTGCATGACCAAAAATAACAACCAACTGACAAAGGACAGCAGAGAGAAAGGAGTCTTCTATTTTACAAACTTCTTTGATATCTTTAAAAATCCTTGGTTCTCATACTACAAATTACCAAGAAGAACAATATCAACAATTAACCGTATAAGAAGAAACCACACATCACTTAATAGCAGCTTACATAAATATAAAATCGTCGATTCCAACAAATGTAAATGCAAAGGGGAAGCCGATACAGTTGAACACGTCTTTTGGTCCTGTGAGCTATATAACTCACAGAGACAGATCATGCTAAATAAGTTTCGTAGATTAAACATGTATGGCCCCTTTTCCATACTCTCTCTGCTGTCAGATATGAATGTAAATACTGTTTATATCATCTCCGACTTTATTGCAAATATTGACTCAAACATATAACTAATATGTTCTTTTCTTAGTCTCTAGCATCTATGTTAGGTGACGACGACTTGCGTAAATAAATAAATTTTTATTTTTATTCTATTTTATCCTGTTATATTTCATTCCCAATGATAAAATTTTAAGACTCTTTACAGAGTCATACTCAACGAGAGTCGTCGCCTAACAAAGCTGACTGTGAACTTCGTGGCTCTTGGAAGTGTCAAGTGACAACCGAAGCGAGCCATGAAGCCTAAACACATGAAGTCAGCAAGTACCGGCCCCATAGCAAGTAAGACAAAGAAGTTTAACTAAAACTTCGTGCAAGGTGCATTTCTTTGCGCGGCGTTTTAGTTAGTAGCCCGCTGCCGCTCATCAA